TTTCTTTCTGTTCTAAAGAATAATCACCATCAGACCACTGAATATAACAGTATGATGACAAACTTTCATTGATATTCAATTTGACAAATTGATCATTTCCAAATATGACAGCATTGGATTAATTTCTAGAAAATTTTGAGAAAGATTATTGTGGATAACCAGCAGACCAAATAATGTGTGCATTTTCCAACTGAAGCTACAATTTAGATTGCTCATTAAGGATCCTGTTTTGTAATCTAATCATTCAGGCTGCAGTACCTACCATTCTCATTGACGAATTTGAATCTGAAGGCTGTGTGGCTGTCTGAGAATCAAGCTCAACCCATGTTGAAGTTTCAGACGGACATTGATGAGAAAACAGGGGAGCAAGTGCTGACATGCTTCCTGCTGCCTCAGTTGGAATATCACCCAGAGAATACAGCTGGTAAGTGTTATAATCAACGTGAAATGTTCGGCTTCTTGTTTGCATCTGTATCTAACCCTGTTGCTGAGAAGTCTTGTGTGGTTAGTCTGTGTAAGAATTTTGCTGCTGCAAAGAATAGTACGCTGAATAATTAACATGGCAACTGTAACATTTCTTGTGACAAAATATGATGATCCATTGGCAGTTAAGTACATAATGGTGTACCTGAAACTATAATTTCATATTTTGCCATGTTTTGTAACAAAGCCTGTTTTTTGAAAACATATGGCTGCAATAGAAAGTATGTGACTTACTGAGGCCGAATTTGAGTTGACTTATTAAATGTTCCAAAAGGAAATGCTGAAACAAGATTGACATTTCATATATGAATCAAATATGAAGAAAGCACGCAGGATGATTTCTGAAATACACAGACTTTTTGTGTTATTTTTATGCTTATAACACATTCCTAAATTGGTATTTTATATTTCAGAAACATTCTGAATATTGTAGGAAAGTATTTTCTGTTGGAATTTCATGTATTGCTTTAGTAAATTATTGGAACTAAAAAGTTTTTTTGTACTAATACTTTTTTTTTTAGTTTAAGCTTTGATTATGAATGTGGAATCATTTTGTTCTCCAATAATTAAGGGTATTAAATTGGAATTAGAAAATTATTTAGATCATTATTACCAATTGCCATGGTGTATTTGCTAAAAAGTGAGAAATTATATATGTGTGTATCTGCATTTTACATAGATGTAAGACAATTGTTTGTGTTTTATTTTACAAGTACTGTATAATGATTTTCTGTTTTATTTGTGCATTTAACCAGTTTTCTTCTGCAGGTAGTAATGATTTTCTATAGTATTTCAGGAGATGTGTGTGAAGATTTGTATTATAAAACTATGTGTTTGGGAAATATCAGTTTTATGTTGGTAATGATCGTTATTAAGAGTAAAGGGTTTGTCGTTATGATATTGTAAAAATTTGTGTATTTGACACTAGCCTGTCAAAGGTGATAAATCTTTTTTTCCCACCACTCTTCCTGCATGAGCCTTGCATTTTTCTTCCATCATTTGCTAAAGGGGACATTAAAATAATGAATTGCATTACATTTACGGCTACAAGTCCTTTGTCCAGCAATTTTCAAACAAAACGTTTTGTGATCACATTTACTTCAGATTAAATCCCAGCCGAGGTCGATGGATTTTTTAAGGGTGATAAAAATCCGTAGCACAACTTCCTTCGGAGGGGAAGTAAAGCTGGTGGTCCCGTGTTACATTCTGCATGTCTGCTTATATTTTTGTATGCTTACACTGTTTATGCCAACTTCAGCTTTTACAGTACCTCAACACCTCTGTTAGTTGCCTTGTGGTTCTTATGTAATTTGAAAATACCCTGTGTTTTGATGATGGGAGTTACATATCTATCTATCTGCAGGGGTGTAATGTTTATTATGTTCTTAGCTTGGCTAACACTTTGAAAAAAAAAGTCTTTGCCTTCATATGTTGTAGGTACTCTGTACACTGTTAACACAGCAAAACTGATGACATTAAATGCATTGTTAGCCAGCTGCAACCAACTGGGTGGTGTTTATTTTGTTACACTTGCAATGAGCATAAGCATCTCCAGCTGGCTAACAACACCTGGCTGGGATTGGGTAATGGTCTGTTTTATTTAATCAGTTCTACAGTGCTACGAGTTGTGGAGTACCACCACTGAACAATGAAAGTAAGACAGAAGACATTCTATTCTTTATTTTTCAATGTGTTAGCCAGGTAAAATGATTAACATAAATGTTCTGCCCTAATACTATGAAGAGCATGCAGAAGTGAAGAAATTCCAAGATTTAAATCTGGTATCACCTGAAATATAGTTCTATGTCGTCATGAAAACTGCTAGCCGCTCTTGAGAATTGCTGCTTTATACGTGAAATTTTTATTATGCAGGTGATAACTTTGTATTTCTTTCATAATTTTCAGTACCATTGATTATTTGTTAGCAGTTTTATGCTTTCTCTTTATTCAGAGTTTTGGACTTTTGTACTTGCATACTTTACTGTGTTACATTCTGCATGTCTGCTTATATTTTTGTATGCTTACACTGTTTATGCCAACTTCAGCTTTTACAGTACCTCAACACCTCTGTTAGTTGCCTTGTGGTTCTTATGTAATTTGAAAATACCCTGTGTTTTGATGATGGGAGTTACCTCTATATTGTATAATAATGTTCTAGATTTATTGTATGGGTTGTAAAGTGATTTATTGCAGCTTTGTTGCTCAGAATTTAATTTAAGATCCTGTTTGACTTTTATTTCTTTCAGTAATAAAACTCTAATTATCTTATTGTTCTTTTGTTAGTGTGTGTGGGTAACATAACATTTTATTTTAAATACAGTAGTTTGTGTCCAACAACTGTTTTTATACGTACAGATACTGATAATTTTGTTTTCAGTCTTGGGCGTCTGTGGTCAGTAAATTTCATACCATGTTTCCAAGAACATGTCGCGTCTTCAGTATCCATTGATTCTTCCTTGAGACATATTTTGTTTTAGCTTGTTACAGTTAAGTATGAGACTATCCTCACTCTTAGCTGTTGATGACCCAGACATTATTAGGGAACCCAGATGGGAAGACTACTGACATCCCTTGACTGCTGTCATTTTATCGCCAACCTATCCTATTATTACTGTGTAGTATATTTGAACAAAGACTGTTTTTTATGCGGAATAGTTACATCTAACATTTAAGTTTACATTTTAGGTTTTGACTGTAACTCCTGCCTTATATTTTGGGAGTTTTTCAGTTCAGATCTTAAATGTTAAATTACTTCATGACTGCTTCCTTCCATATTGCTTTCAGTTCTTAAATTATAACTTATCATTCTGTTGTTTGATAAGCACTTGAAAAGGGATTGTTAACCTGTACTGTCCATGTGACGCAGCTTACATGCAGTCTAGCTGGCTGCATGTCACACTAGCATACTGTTGAACCATTATACCCTGAAGCTAAATCTTGTACTCCCATATGAGATACTGGGAACGACCCGTTCTTCAAGTGCCTGAGCACTGCGGGTCCCAACTTTTCGTTGGCTTGATCTATAGACATTTTGGTAGGACTCCTTGGACGAGGGATCGGCCCTTCGCAAGGCCTCTACCTGTACACAGGACAGCACAACACAGAAAGCACAAGGCCCACGCCTCAGACCGCGCGGCAACTGCGGACCCCACTCCCATATGATAACAATCAAATATAACTACCAGAAACTAGTTGATCAATTTATAAGCTTGCTAATCACTGAATTTTCAGCAGCTTATTAAGAAAGGAATGTAATTCATATACTTATTTAGAGGGTTCTGTAGCTCTGTTTGTTGTTATTTGATTGGTCATAATGTAGTAGTAGTTACTACTACTACTACTGTTACTAACAACAACAAAATATCCTTCAGTTTTGTAATAGGACTGTTATTAAAGTCATGATAAGAACATACTGGCTGTACTGCTTCAAACATTTTATTCATTCTCAGTCAAATGTATACTGGCTTTTCTTGCATTTTGCATGATAATAGTTTTTTGGCATGTTGAATGTTAGAAGATTGCATAATGATTAGCTTCATAGCCTGTACTCCTCACCTGATATTGTTAGGATGATTAAATTGAGGAGAATGAGGTGAGCGGGACATGGGACACACTTGGGGGAGGGGGTGTTTATGTGGTATTGGTTGGGAGGCCTGAAGGAAAGTGACAACTGGGAAGATCTAGGCGTAGGTTGGAGGGTAATGTTAAGATGGACCTTATGGAGATTGGAATTGATAAGCAAATTGGATGCAGCTAGCTCAGGATGGAGTCTGGTGGTGGTCTTTTGTGAACACAGTGATGAACCTTCAGGTTTCATGAAGAACGTGGGCTATTTTTTTGACAGCCCAGTATGCAATCGACTTTGCAAAGAATATTCTACACCATAGAGTGAGTGTGGGTGAGTGAGTGAGTGAATGTTAGTGACATTTAATGCGTCTGTTAAGATCTTGATGCCATTTAAATTTATTCCGTGATTTCCTTTTGCCTTGGTAGATCTAAATTCACATAGTTGGGTTCTTTGTATGTTGTTTCAGCTTTGAACATTCGTGTTGTTAGTAGCATGTTAAGGTCTGAATGCATGGTTGTTATGGGAGTATTTTCTTTGGATGCTGCATTGTCTCCATAAACAAGAAGCATGTCTCAGTATTTTTCTTAAGGTTTATAGTATGTGGAACTTTTAAATAGTTTCTTCACAGCTAAAGTGGACAGCAAATATATTCTAAATAAGTGAGGAAAAGATATTCTCTCATTTTATAAAATAATTTTTTGCAATGTAGAATGCGTGTGTTCAGGTCATTCATGTAGTATCTAATTTTAAGAATATACATGATACTTGTCATTCTTCAACCTCTCTGCCATACTTTAGGTGGAGATTTTTGTATGCTTACACTGTTTATGCCAACTTCAGCTTTTACAGTACCTCAACACCTCTGTTAGTTGCCTTGTGGTTCTTATGTAATTTGAAAATACCCTGTGTTTTGATGATGGGAGTTACCTCTATATTGTATAATAATGTTCTAGATTTATTGTATGGGTTGTAAAGTGATTTATTGCAGCTTTGTTGCTCAGAATTTAATTTAAGATCCTGTTTGACTTTTATTTCTTTCAGTAATAAAACTCTAATTATCTTATTGTTCTTTTGTTAGTGTGTGTGGGTAACATAACATTTTATTTTAAATACAGTAGTTTGTGTCCAACAACTGTTTTTATACGTACAGATACTGATAATTTTGTTTTCAGTCTTGGGCGTCTGTGGTCAGTAAATTTCATACCATGTTTCCAAGAACATGTCGCGTCTTCAGTATCCATTGATTCTTCCTTGAGACATATTTTGTTTTAGCTTGTTACAGTTAAGTATGAGACTATCCTCACTCTTAGCTGTTGATGACCCAGACATTATTAGGGAACCCAGATGGGAAGACTACTGACATCCCTTGACTGCTGTCATTTTATCGCCAACCTATCCTATTATTACTGTGTAGTATATTTGAACAAAGACTGTTTTTTATGCGGAATAGTTACATCTAACATTTAAGTTTACATTTTAGGTTTTGACTGTAACTCCTGCCTTATATTTTGGGAGTTTTTCAGTTCAGATCTTAAATGTTAAATTACTTCATGACTGCTTCCTTCCATATTGCTTTCAGTTCTTAAATTATAACTTATCATTCTGTTGTTTGATAAGCACTTGAAAAGGGATTGTTAACCTGTACTGTCCATGTGACGCAGCTTACATGCAGTCTAGCTGGCTGCATGTCACACTAGCATACTGTTGAACCATTATACCCTGAAGCTAAATCTTGTACTCCCATATGAGATACTGGGAACGACCCGTTCTTC